GGTTGTGACCTCTTTGGAGTGCCATGTCCATTAAATAAAGTAGGCGCCATTCCAACTGTCTCACTAGATGTTTGGTAGATTTGGCAACCAAGGATGAGGCTGACAACATTCCCTGCCTCTGCAGTAATATAGTAGACATCAAGGCTTGAACAGCGAGGGTCGGAAGATCTGATAGATGAAATAAATGGTCGAACATCAAGGCGATTTGTCAGGCGTAGTATGAAGGAGATGCGTTGGGAGCCTCTCATCAGACAAGGAGCGTCTGTCAGTTGAGTAAAGCTGCGGCCCTGAACGCCTGACCTGCATTGTCCTGACTGTAGTTCAAAACGTGGTATCTTCACTAATTCCTCTGTCACAACTGACCCCTCAGCCTAACTGGCATTACCATGACAACATTGAAGAAGAACATATACATAGATAAAGCAACTAAGGATACATGATCATACATTTTACACTGTGGGAGATGGAACAAACTGTCTGTTTACAAAGGGGCATAACTCTTGTTGCCCTTCTTGCATACCAGTAATAATATAGTAACCTCATAATAACAATCAAAACATGCACAAAGCAAAGTCAGAATAACATAAAAACTGTTAAACTGTACATAGTAGCAAGACGACTGAAAACAGGGCCAAATTAACCAAGGACAAATTACCTAGTCTGTAACATGTATGCCACAACACACAACAAAGTGTATGTAAATACGTGAAAAATGTCCAAGAGGTATGATGCATGTACACCAAATGAAAACACCAGCAAAGACCCGAGAGCATTTAGAATGAAGCATGTTTACATATAGGGGGAACAAACGTGCTACAAACAAAGGCAAGTGAAACGGAACATATACATGTATGTGTGTAAGAATTAGGGCTGGATATCGATGTAGATCATAGAGATCGATAATACTAATAGCCAACTAAATAACAATTAATTATCGATATATATGGGAGAACTAACTGTAAGCATGGTAAGCAAATAAGTAAGAAAGTCCCGAAAGAAATCAACATATTTCATGCCACTGGAGAGCAGTGATACATTCGTACATGGATTACTTTGTGGACATTTGAGACATAACGAAAATAGCTGCTTTCTGTCTTCGACAATTGACATTATTGACAACATGGACAACAAGTCTGTTTCAGTAAATCTAAACTTTATTTCATCACAATATTTTATGGAAGTTATTATTGATGACAACAATTCCATATCAATAATCGTTGATATTTCTTCCCATCGCCGATCATTCTGATTATTGATCTTTTTAGCCAGCCCTAGAAAGAATACCCAAGTAAATAAACAAACCAATCTGTCCTGAAAAAAAAGTAATATTTGATAACCCCAACAAAAACAGAGGATCACTGACAATCTTTTCTCGTTGGCGAAAACAAGAAGAGTGACATTTATGTTGACTGTGTGCGTTGAGGGCAGGATTTGTTCCGGTGAGCAGTTTCAACCAATTCTAGTCATGTTTTTTTTAAGGAAACAAAAGGGAAATCAATATGTAATGCAGGATTAAGTAAAAATCAGAATCATCAAACTTTCTGTTTCTGACAACAACAAAAACATTCTGTTTCTGGCAATAACTACAACCTAAATGTTAATGAGAGCCAGTGAAGTTAATAACAGGAAAAAATAAATAATTGTTTCTGGTAAACACACTGTTGGTAGGGAGTTTTTGGTAGGTAGAGAATTGTTTTTTCAAAATGAAATTGTAGACAAAAAAAAGACAACTTAGGACAGTTTTGTTGTTTCTGTAATGTGAGTGAGTGATCATAGGATTTTACGTTTAAGTCCAACATGTCAGTGCTACAAGACACAGTTATCTTACTTTTTTACAAGAAAGATTTGTTTGTTTGTTGTTGAACACTGCACTCAGCAATATTCCAGCCATATGATGGCGGTCTGTAAATAATCATGTCTGGACCAGACAATCCAGTGACTGACATCATGATCATTGATATATGCTGTTGGGATACGATGACATGCCTCAACCAAGTCATCGAGTCTGACCACCCGATCCCATCAGTCACCTCTTTCGACAAGCAAAGTTGCCTTTTACGACAAGCATGGGTTGCTGGAGACTTTTTTTCTCCGTAACCTGGATCTTCAAAAAGAAAGACACAACAGGTATTCCTAATTTTCAGTGATCATTAGATTTACAACTTTAGTAAGATCCTGTTAAACATGTCATTCCATAATTCTGGTGGGAAAGTCACAGAATTCTTTCTTTTGCTGTTGTTGGCCATGTTGACTTACCTTTCTGTTTGACTGACTCTGGTTGACCTGTGAGGGCCTCAGTTTTCCTTTGGCAATCAACATGGCGTTAACTTTGGCTGCAGCCTCTGCTGCTGCTTCTAAACTACTCCTGTTTTCATCATACATGGCTTGGCTGCAAGCAAAGTGCATCATCATCATCATCAAATTAGAATCATATATGTATATATTGTTGCTTGACAATGTTTTCAAGAATCAGTACCTTATCATACTTTATACATATCATCTCAAGATACTCAGATTAGTTGCTGCAGGCATAAATGATAGTCAAGGTTTTTAGGCTTTCAATTCAATGTGTACCATGTATACTTTGAAAAATTAATAACATGATTTAGTTCCTCTGAATTAATTTTTTCGTAAGGCAATTCTTTGAAGTTGACAGATGACAAAGAAGACACAAATTATGAATAACAATTTATTTAACCATGTTAACATGTCTATTGTACTATTAGTATTATAACAACATTTTGGTACAGATCCTTATATGCCATATACTATATAGTAGTGAATAACATGGAAATTATGTGAACTATAAAAGGAAATCCTATATATCCTTAAGAAGAGATAGGCACTTGGACGACTTTATGGCATGAAAACAATCTGATTTTACTTCCCCCATTGCAGACACTGTGTGCCAAAAAAGATATAACACTGATTCAAGGGCTGTAACTGTGTATGCACAAAATCTAAAAACATGTAGCAAGGCATGTAACTCTTTTACATAACTTATCGCACCAATTTTCAACTCAGTCTTGACAAGTATCTCTTAGATAAACATGCAAACTTTCATTCATGTCATTTTAGTAGTTTCTGAGAAAACGTGTCCCCATTTCACAAGGTACGCATTAATTTGAAAAGCATGGAGCAAGGGACATAAATCTGTACTCATTTGAGATCATGACCAGCAACATCAGTGTGGAAAATTTCATTTCTCCAACATAAATAGTATTTGACAAAATTTGTCCTCATTGAGAAGCAGACAGACAGATGGACAGATGAACTCCATTCCTATATCCCCCGCCCCACATTATGGCAGGGGATAATAAGTCTTACATATTGCCTTGGTAATGCAAGAAATATCCTGAAGAACAAACATGGCAAAGATACCAGTTCAGCACTTGCATGATATGTATTACATACAAAGTTTCTTGAAAAAATATTCAACAGTTTATGAGTTATGCTCAAGAAATGAAACGAAGGGTAGACAGGTTCCATTTTTATATTCCCTGTCAATCATTGAGAATTATTACACAATTCATTCTACATAAACAGTTCTATTACTTACAACAGTGAAGACCTTTTCTCCCCCTTTTTAACCTAAAGTCATGACTTATTCAGTCCAAAATTCAGGGAAGATTATTGAGACTTGGCTAAAACCATTACATCTTATCAGAACACAGGGTTGGTTGGTTTGTTGTTTTACGCCGCACTCAGCAATATTCCAGCTATATGACGGCGGTCTGTATAAATAATCGAGTCTGGACCAGACAATCCAGTGATTGATATGAGCATCGATCCACGCAATTGGGATCAATGACATGCATCAACCAAGTCAGCGAGCCTGACCACCCGATCCTGTTAGTCGCCTTTTACAACATAGTGGCTTTTTACAGCAAGCATGGCCAAAACACAGGGACAAAGATCCCATTTCATCCCTTTTTGACGGTGCAGGAACAGCCACTACCAGACAACTGAACTGATGGGCTAGGCCTATAAGTTTTGTCACAAAACCATCTTTTTACAGTCACAAAACTACACCTGTCTGCAATGAGCTTTTGACTCGAGATGAAATTTCAAACGTCCTTGTGCAACATGAATATAACTGCCAGTTTACCTAATTTTCAAGATAGAGTAATGTTCATGTCGTTTAAAATTCGTTAAACCGAGAATTACGACTGGACAGTGTGTATAAGACGTTAAAACACAGTTCGAGATTGCAAGGTTAACCTAAAGTTTATCTCCCTTTTCTGTGTTCCAGTTGAACCCTTTTAACAAAATTCTACAAAAGACGGAATATAACATAAGATCCAAATTTCGAAACTTTAAAATACAATCATAATGCAAATTCAAAACGCGTGCATCTAAACGGCAATAAGAAATATTGACACATTAGGCCCAATCTTCATCAACGCCATTTTATATTTATTTGGTTTCCGGCCGCAGGTTGCAGGACGTGGAAGTTCATACTAAACATACTAATATAAGGCATTCTTCAAAGACAAATAGAGAGTCACTAGCTGTTGCGAAGGTGCAAAATGGCTTACCACAATAACTTCAAAATGTCTCACGCGAGTAATGCACAAAGTGCATTAAAAAATATTGGTTGAACAATACTTAGCGTGCCATCCTAGGCCGCCATTTGTTATCAATCTACATACGCCGTGACATCATCTATGACGTCAGAATATTTTCGAGGAATTCCCCCTGCGCTCGGCATGTCTCGTATCAGCTGATTACAGAAACAGAAATATTCGTTCAGTGAAAAACCATATGTTTTAATACCCCACCGAGCTCTTATGCAGAAGATAATGTAAAGTAGGTGTAGATATCGCGTGCACCTGCCACTCTAGCCTAATATTTTCAAATGGAAGCAGATACGATATTGTCTTTTGTACAAACCTTCAAGAAAAAAACTTTGCGTGCTGCTTTCAGATGAGCAAACCTTTATAAAGTACAAGAGTAACAAGAAAACCATTCTTCGCTTTTCAAACCACTGGAACCAAAGAACATGTTGTATACAGATGTATTTCTCATCCCAAACAGGGCCCCTTGATGTTTCACCGCTAGGCGGCGTCCTAACCTTTGGGATTTCCCTCAGTCTTCAACACGTGGTTTCAAGAAGAAAACAGTGTTTTGGTAAAATTACTGCCATTCATGTAAAGCACAGGACTATGTAACTAACATTCTATAGAAACAAACTCACATAGGAGGCCTCGTTTGCGAGTTTGTTAATATGGAATTTTAGTAACATGTTTCTAAAAAACTAAAGGAACTAATTAAAATGATTCAAACGTGGTTGTAACCAACAACACGTATCTCAACCCACAGGACCATGTAACGAATAATAATAACAAACAAACTCGCATACGGGCTCGTCTACGATTGTTTTTGTGAATTTTTCTATTAGTATTAGTTACATGGTCCTGTGCTCTGCCGGACAAAAATAGGCACAAAACTATTTAATTTCTCATAAACCACCTGTAAATCAATAACCTAATTTTGAAAAATGATTAAAAATAATTCATCTTTCGTTTTATGATATCCAGATCAGATGTACCAGAGACCGTATATCAGTATATGGTCTCAGGTACATCTGATCTAGATATCATAAAACGAAAGATTAATTATTATTCATCATTTCTATATCGGTATATGGTCTCTGCATATACGTTTTAGACGAACAAACATTATTATGATTATGAAATGTATCACATGATGAAAATATTTTTGTTTGTATTCAAATGTGAATGTTTTCTATTCTTATTTAGGTAAGAGCTTCAATATGGGTGACACTGTTATATCAAAGAAATCAAAGAAGAAAAGGAAAAATTCAGACCTTGACATTGAAGTGGCACATCATGACCCAAAGAATACTGCTGAAAAAACAAGAAAGAAAAAGAAGAAGGAATTAAGTGACAGTGGTATTGCTCTTGAAACAGAACACGATAGTGGCAACACAAAGGAAACACTTAAGAAAAAGTGTAAGAAGAAAAGAAAACACGAACCAGAGTTGGACGACAAGGAGGGCAGTGACAGTGTATCAAGCGGTGAAATCAAAGCAAAAAAGAGGAAAAGTAAAAAGAGTAAAAGAAAGGAAGTCCATGAAAGTGAAGACAGTGATCAGCTTGAATTAGCAGTCCCACCAAAGAAGAAAAAGAAAAGGAAAAAACAAAGAGAAAAAGATGTTGTCACAGAGAGACAAGCTGAAATTACACATTTGTCCAAAGAAAAATGTGAAAAAAGAGACAAAAGTGTGAAAGGTGACCATTTGGAAAGTGATGAAGGAACAGTGAATGAAGAAAATACAAGTAAGAAGAAAAAGAAGAAAAAAAAGCAGAAGCAAGAGGATAATGAGGAAACACCTGTAGAAGATTCTAAATGTGAAGATATTCACGCTAAGAAGAAAAAGAAGAAAAAGAAACACAACCAAGATGCACTGGAGGAAAACAATGATCATCACGACAGTATTGAGAAGATTTCAAACAAGAAAAACAGAAAACAACACAATAGTTTACCAACTGATCATACTAGTAAGGAGAAACCAAATTCATACAACAGTCAGCCTTTTGACTATGGCAGTGAGGACAAGTCGGGGGGTGATATCTCCAACAACACTTCAGGCCCATACCTTGGGCAGTGGGGTACAGCATCGCTTGGTAACAACGAAAGACAACAAAAGTTCGCTCGACTACTGGGGGGCTTTAAGAAAGGTGGAAATCTTGGACAGAACAAGCCAGGATTATTTGGGAAGTTAGGGACCAAAAGTAGTTCTTCGAATTCTGCTTTAAATCGTGCAGAAGAAGATATACTAAACAAGAACCTTGAAAGTGACTTTGAGAAAGCACTGGCTTTTAGGCTTTCTAAAGAGAAATCTTCTGGGCTTGGTTTTGCTCCGCCTCCTGAGGAAGGCAAGAAGTTTTATATAGACAAGACAAGCTCTAAGTCAATTAAATTTGATGATTCTGATTAATTGTAATTAATTAATAAATTAACATCTTCTGTAATCGATTTGTGAAGTGTTGTGTGTGGTGTCAATGATCTGTGAAAATTGTTTTCACTATCAATGACATTTCAATTCCAGAATGGAAACCACATTGTAGAAAGTTATATTGTTATTAGGTACAGTCGAACCACGCTTATCCGGACAGTTAGGTTTTCTTAAGTATTGTCCAGATACATGAATTTCAGGATATCCGAATCCCATGTCAACTGACCAGAGTTACCTCCCCTGCCCAAATGCTACAGAGGCAAAGAACCCACTCTAATATTTACTACGTCAAACACGTATGAGAACACCCACTATTTAGTATATACTTCAGTAAAAGTAATGTTTGCTGTACAGTAATGCAATGATATGATGTCTGGTGGTGCATGTGGAACATGACAGGTGAGGTAAGCATATGTGCAGTTGGAACCCTGGAGGAACCCATGGGCGGATACAGAGCGGGGGTGCGCACCCCCCCTTCTTATTTCGAAAAAAATCTTTATTTCTGTATAAATTACCACCAAAGACAATAAATAGATCTTAATTGTGCACCCCCCCCCTTTTCAAAAAAGCTGTATCCGCCCATGGAACCCATATTGGTTGTGTTTTGGAGACAGTCAAAATGACAGAAAACATGTGGAAATATCAAATGCAAACATGTCCATCGGCACACGATGGTGTCTGCCACCCAAACAAAACCATCCACATGCTACATGATTCCTGTGCAGCCACTGCACACAGGTTTAAAAGCTGAGGCAGCAGACATTTGTCAATGTCCAGTTTTTGAGACATCATGTTGCGAAGACCCCTAAGTGCTGTGCATCGTGGATGGGAGATTGCATGGCTTAGAGATGGTGTAGCCATTAGAGAGGTCGCAAGACGCCTTCAGAGGTCAGCATCTGTGATTCATCGTCTAGGGAAACATTTTCAAGCAACAGCAAGAGTACAGGACCGACCACATTTAGACAGACCACATTTAGACAGACCCACATCAGGGTCAAGGGCTGATGAACGTTACATCGTTGTGACGGCCTTACGTCAGAGATTCCCTGCTGCTAATGCACTTCAGCTGCAACTGAGCCACACACACATGTGAATGTCTGTGCATAGACAATTCGAAGCCGTCTCCAAGCTGTTGGTATCCGTAGCACTAGCAGACATCCTGCTGTTGCCCCCTTCTTCCATGTCACAGAGCAGCCAGTCTTGCATGGTGTCATGTCCATCAGCATTGGAATCGTCAGGACTGCTCACAGGTATTGCTTTCGGAGTCTTGGTTCAGTTTGCAATATCTGGATGGCCATGTCCTGTGTGTTCAGAAGGCAAGGTGAACATTTCCATGATGACATTCTGTGAATGAGACATGTTTGGTGGAGGGTCAGTAATGGTGTGTGTGTGTGTGTGTGTGTGTGGAGCATCAGTTTGCAATACAGGACCCCCCTCGATCATGTTCATGGCAATCTGATTTGTGTCCAAAACAGGGAAGAGGTTGTTGGACCCCTTGTGATTCTGTCTCTCAATACCATAGGACTGGTGTCATTTTTGTTCAGGATGACAATGCCAGGCCACATAGTGCATGTGTTGTCACTGACTTTCTCACCCAAGGGGGCTTTGAGATAACGCAGTGGCCAGCATATTCCCCTGATCTCGGGCCAATTGAACAAGTTTGGGACATTTTGGGACAACGTATTTCGCGATAACCATCCTCTACCAGCAAATCTGCAACAGCTCGTCGGATTCCTTCATCAGGCAATGCCCCAGGCATCATTAGCCACTTGTCAGGTCAATGAGAGCTTGATGTGCAGTGTGCACCAGGAACCAGGGTGGCCACACCCATTATTGACTCTGTAATGACTTTTCAAAATGACCCCTCATACTTTCGGTTCAACATATGGGTATTATTAGATTTATTTACTGGTGCCTGATCAGAAAGGTTCATCCATTGAATGTCACATGATCAGAAATTACCCAATGTGTCCTGGTTGTCTTTGTAGTCATTGAGATAAGATGGAAATATTGGGTGTTCCCATACTTGTTTGATGTAGTATATGTAATGCTTAACATTATTCAAGTAAAAACCTCGCCAGGAAGGCAAGGCTTCCGGGTATTTGGGGTCTGGATATGCGAAGTTCCACTGTATAGTTTGTGTGACAATTCAATTGGGGGGATTTATATCAGAAATATCAGAGGTTGATACCCGCAGGGATCCTGGGATGGAATAGGTCCAACCTATTCCTGATCTTTGAGGCTTTGTGACCTGGTTGATGTTGTGTCATCACACTCTACAGTATGAATTGTTGCTCATAATATCAATCACTAGTTTGTTTTGACAAGCTACTGGCCATTGTCACATAGCTACACGTCTATGTCAAACTGTCCCAAATTGGAATGAGGAATTTCTAAAATCAGATTTTATTATGTATAATACCAAGGGTATTGTTTTATCTGTGTGAAGGTAATTTGTATTTCACTGATAACACAGGACTGATGATGTCAAACTTTAATACTTAGATCTTACATTATTACATTGTATGCAATGGCTAAATGCAGAACAAGCTGACATTATATAACTGACATACTTTTCAAAGTGAGGTTAACCAAATTCAGTCGCTTGTGAGAAGCTCGGTTCCAGATTTACATGGTGTTTGAGGTGAAATGGGGTTTATCGCTGCGTCCAAGATTACTGCACTTATATGGCGACGTCATTGCACGTGTGTATGTGTGTGTTGCTGCTTGTACTAGTCCGGACTGATGCCGATTTATACTGCTAGCCCACTGAGATACCATACCACAGTTCAACATAAATAGCCAACCATTCCTAGTTTTAGCCCCTGAATTCTGAGCTCCAGACAGGGTAACAACAAGTACCATCTTTTAATGTCTTTTGGTATGACATGGCCGGGAATCAAACCCTGGACCTGGTTGACACTCTACCACTAGACCACAGAGGTGGTCAGATTGGCATGGTTATGGAATATGTACCATGTAACATGCAGCATTGATTAAACTTATTAAAAAACCAGAGTTGATCTGAAGTTGATAGCATAGTGCTGGAAATGTCACATAGCTGTGTTACCCACCTACGGGAGCTGTAGCCATGTTACTCCACTAGGGGAACTGTAGCTGTGTTACTCCACTAGGGGGACTGTAGCCATGTAACTCCACTAGGGGGACTGTAGCTGTGTTAACCCACTAGGGGACCTGTAGCCATGTTACTCCACTAGGGGGACTGTAGCTGTGTTACTCCACTAGGGGACCTGTAGCCATGTTACTCCACTAGGGGGACTGTAGCTGTGTTACTCCACTAGGGGAGCTGTAGCTGTGTTACTCCACTAGGGGAGTTGTAGCTGTGTTACTCCACTAGGGAAACTCTAGCCATCTTACTCTACTGGGGGAACTGTAGCTGTGTTACTCCACTAGGGGAACTCTAGCCATCTTACTCTACTGGGGGAACTGTAGCTGTGTTACTCCACCAGGGGACCTGTAGCCATGTTACTCCACTAGGGGGACTGTAGCTGTGTTACTCCACTAGGGGACCTGTAGCCATGTTACTCCACTAGGGGGACTGTAGTTGTGTTCCTCAGCTTCAGGCTAGCCATGTTACTCAACCAGGGGACCTGTAGCCATGTTACTCAACCAGGGGACCTGTAGCCATGTTACTCCACTAGGGGACCTGTAGCCATGTTACTCCACTAGGGGGACTGTAGCTGTGTTACTCCACTAGGGGAACTGTAACCATGATACTCCACTAGGGGGACTGTAGCTGTGTTACTCCACTAGGGGGACTGTAGCCATGTTACTCCACTAGGGGGACTGTAGCTGTGTTACTCCACTAGGGGACCTGTAGCCATATTACTCCACTAGGGGGACTGTAGCCATGTTACTCCACTAGGGGGACTGTAGCTGTGTCACTCCACTAGGGGACCTGTAGCCATGTTACTCCACTAGGGGGACTGTAGCCATGTTACTCCACTAGGGGACTGTAGCTGTGTTCCTCAGCTTCAGGCTAGCCATGTAACTCAACCAGGGGACCTGTAGCCATGTTACTCCACTAGGGGGACTGTAGCTGTGTTACTCCACTAGGGGACCTGTAGCCATGTTACTCCACTAGGGGGACTGTAGCTGTGTTACTCCACTAGGGGAACTGTAACCATGATACTCCACTAGGGGGAATGTAGCTGTGTTCCTCAGCTTCAGGCTAGCCATGTTACTCCACTAGGGGGACTGTAGCTGTGTTACTCCACTAGGGGACCTGTAGCCATGTTACTCCACTAGGGGGACTGTAGCTGTGTTCCTCAGCTTCAGGCTAGCCATGTTACTCAACCAGGGGACCTGTAGCCATGCTACTCCACTAGGGGGACTGTAGCTGTGTTACTCCACTAGGGGACCTGTAGCCATGTTACTCCACTAGGGGGACTGTAGCCGTGTTACTCCACTAGGGGACCTGTAGCCATGTTACTCCACTAGGGGACCTGTAGCCATGTTACTCCACTAGGGGGACTGTAGCTGTGTTCCTCAGCTTCAGGCTAGCCATGTTACTCAACCAGGGGACCTGTAGCCATGTTACTCCACTAGGAGGACTGTAGCTGTGTTCCTCAGCTTCAGGCTAGCCATGTTACTCAACCAGGGGACCTGTAGCCATGTTACTCAACCAGGGGACCTGTAGCCATGTTACTCCACTAGGGGACCTGTAGCCATGTTACTCCACTAGGGGACCTGTAGCCATGTTACTCCACTAGGAGGACTGTAGCTGTGTTCCTCAGCTTCAGGCTAGCCATGTTACTCAACCAGGGGACCTGTAGCCATGTTACTCAACCAGGGGACCTGTAGCCATGTTACTCCACTAGGGGACCTGTAGCCGTGTTACTCCACTAGGGGACCTGTAGCCATGTTACTCCACTAGGGGGACTGTAGCCGTGTTACTCCACTAGGGGAACTATAACCATGATACTCCACTAGGAGGACTGTAGCTGTGTTACTCCACTAGGGGGACTGTAGCCATGTTACTCCACTAGGGGGACT